CTACATGTATTATCAAAGTTCAATAGGAAATATGGCTTGCAGAGTGGTAACAAGTATGACCTAAATTCAGTAGGAGATATGGCTTGCAGAATGGTAACAAGTATGACCTAAATTCAATAGGAAATATGGCTTCCAGAGTGGTAACAAGTATGACCTAAATTCAATAGGAGATATGGCTTGCAGAGTGGTAACAAGTATGACCTAAATTCAATAGGAAATATGGCTTGCAGAGTGGTAACAAGTATGACCTAAATTCAATAGGAAATATGGCTTCCAGCCATGTTGTAATAGCTATAAATTAGCTTGTCAGTGGTAAAGCCATGTTGTAATAGTTATTAATTGGTTTGACAGTGGTAGAGCCATGTGTTTAAAACTATAAATTAGTTTGATAGTGGTATAGACATATTGTAATAGCTACAAATTAGTTTATAGTGGTAAAGCCATGTTGTAATAGCTACAAATTAGTCTGACAGAGGTATAGTTGTCAGTGAAAAAATATGTTGTTGCATAACATATAAATGTCATTAGACATTCACAGTTCAGAATGAAAAGCCAAAGCAATGTAAATGAAAAGAAGGATAGCTCTATGATCATTGCTGAGAAATTTTATCTCTCAATGATTAAACACTGAAAATTCTATATTCTGCAGCAGTAGAAAAAGTAATTGATTTATATAGTTATAATATTTGAGTGTTGTTGGCATGGATACTAATGCTAGTGCTAGCATTGAGATTGATAGTTACAGCCATATTTGTGTACCATGATTAACTGACAAAGTTTCCCAATGGTTTTGCAATTGCTGATCATTCCTAATTATTTTTAAATAACAAAAATTTAAGCTTAATAACATTAATTCATTGATAAATTATTTTTATAAGAAACTTATTTAAATGAGTAATGCATGTCTTACTTCATGTATAACTTTGACATCTGTGAAATCTTCTAAGACCATTCATGTTCTAGAAGGGCCACCATCTTAAAAGGACAATGTGTTAATTGATCTATGAGTAACTAATATGTTTTCCTGAAATGACTTGGCTTTAAAAAATTTATGTAAACTGAAGATCACATTAAAGGGGGTGGGTAGGGGTAAAGTTTAGTAATTATTCAACTATTTTAACTGTAATTTATTCCAAAATCTTATAAACTAATTAATCACCTGTGAAACGTTAATTCTTGACCCTTTGGACCCTGCCACTATCATACTTTTGAAGTTGTTGAACTCGGAGAGAGACATAAGAGCCATGCTACCAGTCTTGTCACAGGCAATATTTAGTATTCTATTCACCTGTAGAAAGATTGCATGTACTTATTAGTATTCTGTTCACCTGTAGAAAGATTGTATGAGCTTATTAGCATTATTATCACCTGTATCATAAATGTAAACATAAATTCTAAAAAACATGCCCTTCCAAATAAATGTAAACATAAATTCTAAAAGACATGCCCTTCCAAATAAATGTATAATGAAATACTAAAAGACATGCCCTTCCAAATAAATGTATAACAAAATACTAAAAGACATGCCCTTCCAAATAAATGTATGTTGTTGCTGTTCATCCTTCATTCTCAAAGACAACCATGACTTCATGTCTGGGTTAGTCTGTGAGTGCGCAGATGGATGGTGAGGCCAATCTGTGCTCTAAAGTGTCTAGGGCAATGAAGGCAGGGAATTGCCGGAGCCTAGATCGATTGAGGGTTGGCGACGTCTCTGCTCTTCCTCTGCTGGTGTATATGTTTGGCCTCGATGATCCGTTGCTCTTCAAAAGCAGCAGCGCCTGAATTGATCTGTTGGTGCCAGGCATCACTGTCTTCGGCAAGCTGCTTCCAGCTATCTGGATCAATGCCACAGGACTTCATTGAGGCTTTGAGCATGTCCTTGTACCGCTTCTTTTGGCCTCCCCTGGAACACTTGCCTTCAGTTAGTTCCCCATAAAACAGTCTCTTTGGGATGTGCTCATCAGGCATTCGGCTGACATGGCCAGCCCAACAGAGCTGTGATCTTCTGAGCATGGCATGGGCGCTTGTCATATCAGGAATCTTGTCATGCCATTTGATGTAGAGCAGTTTTCTGAGACAGCATATATGGAAGGAGTTAAGCTGTCTTTCATGACAACTGTACACCATCCATGTCTCACAGGCATACAAGAGGTAGGGCAATACTACTGTGTGGTACACCTTGATCTTGGTTTTCAGGCTGATTCCTCTTCTATTCCACATAGAGTTGTGGAGTCTGCCGAAGGCTGCACTTGCGTGAGCAATCCTGAGGGTGACCTCTTCATCGATGGAGACTGTGCATGACAAGGTGCTGCCAAGGTAGATGAACTTGTCAGCAATGGCAAGCTTCTCGCCATTGACAGTAATGCTTGGTTCAGTGTAGGGGTTGAGGGTGCAGGCTGGTACATAATTTCCATCTTCGTTATACTTATTGTGAGTCAGAGGTCTGTGCAGGCTTTGGAGAAGTGATCATTACTTTCTTCCATGTCAGACTGAGTACAAGCATTTAAAGCACAGTCATCAGCAAAGAGGAGGTTACAGATGGTGTCTTCCTGGACTTTGGTCTTAGCCCACAGTCTTCTCAGGTTGAAGATGTTCCCATCTATCCTAAACCAGATATCAATGCCAATGTCACCCTCACAGAAAGCGTCGGTCAGCATCACTGTGAACATCATGCTGAACAGTTTTGGAGAAAGAACACAGCCCTGTTTGACACCATATGTCACTGGGAAGGGCAGGGATAACTCTCCTTCATCCTGTACTGTAGCGAGAATGCCATCATGGAATAGTCTGACCATGATGATGAAGTTCTCAGGGCATCCAAACTTTGCCATAATCCTCCACAGACCTTCACAACTCAGTGTCAAAAGCCTTAGTGAGATCCACAAAAGTGGTGAAGAGGCTGATGTTCTGCTCTTGGCATTTATCCTGGAGTTGTCTGGCTGCAAAAGTCATGTCCACGGTGCCTTGACCATGCATAAAGCTGCACTGACTCTCCGGTAGCAAGTTTTGCTCCAAGTGGAAGGTAAGTCAGTTTAGCAGAATTCTGGCCAGTATCTTCACTGCTATGGATAATAGAGAGATGCCATGGTGGTTGTCTGGTTCCCCTTCCACTTGTAGAGGTGGACAATAGAGGCATCTTTGAACTCCTGCGGAATCCTCTGCTGGTTCCTCATAAACTCGAAGAGGTCAGTAAGCTTCTGCATCAGTCGGGGACCACCAGCTGTGTAGACTTCCGCTGGGATGGAGTCAGAGCCCAGGGATTTGCCACTGGAGAGGCTTTTAATTGCCTCCTTTACTTCTGTAAGACTTAGTGAATCTGAGAGGGAAGCATTGGTTGGGATCTGGGGCAGGTGAGCGATGGCTTCAGCATTTATGGAAGAAGGACGGTTGAGGACTCTGTCAAAGTGTTCTGCCTAGCGTTTGAGAATCTCTTCCTTATCAGTGATCAGCGTGTTCCCATCTGAGAAGACTGGAAGATCCTGATTTAATGGGACTGCGGTTGAGGACTCTGTCAAAGTGTTCTGCCCAGCGTTTGAGAATCTCTTCCTTATCAGTGATCAGCGTATTCCCATCTGAGAAGACTGGAAGATCCTGATTTAATGGGACTGCGGTTGAGGACTCTATCAAAGTGTTCTGCCCAGCGTTTGAGAATCTCTTCCTTATCAGTGATCAGCGTGTTCCTATCTGAGAAGACTGGAAGATCCTGATTTAATGGGACTGCGGTTGAGGACTCTGTCAAAGTGTTCTGCCCAGCGTTTGAGAATCTTTTCCTTATCAGTGATCAGCGTGAGAAGATCCTGATTTAATGGGACAGTGGATTGTCTTGAGCACCTCGTAGAACCGCTTCATGTCATTGCGGTCTGCATACGACTGGATCTCATCCGCCTTCTTGCTAATCCAAATGTCCTGCATCTGTCGGAGCTCTCTCTGCACTGTTCTTCTGTACTGACGAATGCAGATTTGTTAGATGTAGAGAGTGGATCATTTAGGAGTGCTCTGTGTGTGCAGTGTTTTTCTTTGAGCAGTTCTTGAATGTGGTCCTTATTATCATTGAACAAGTCCTGGTACTTTCGTGCGGTAAGTCCTACCACATCGGTGGCAGTGGAATAGACAATATCCCAAAGGGACGCCCAATCAGACTCTACATCATGTAAGCCTAAAGTAATGGCTAGTTTTTCTGCAAAGGACTGCTTCACTGACTTGTTTTTCAGCTTGGAGACATTCAGTCACGAAGGTGTCTTGCTTCCTTGAAAACATCTAGGAGATTGTATCTTGATGTTAAGTTTTGAGATGATCAGCCTGTGGTCAGTCCAGCACTTAGTTCCACACACAGCCTTCATCACTCTGACATCCTGCCTGTCTTTCTGTCGCACTATGATGTAGTCGAGCATATGACAGTGCTTGAAGCGTGGGTGCATCCATGACGTCTTGTTGTGAAGTGGTAGGTGGAAGACAGAGTTGGTAATAAGCAGTTTGTGCGCTGGACAAGTCTCCAGCAGCAGATGCCCATTGCTATTGCATCTGCCAAATCCATTTTTCCCCCAGTACTCCTTTCCATGAGGTGTAATCTGCGCCAACCTGGGTGTTGAAGTCACCAAGGATGTTGAGTTTATCTGTTCTGGGCACGGCAGCAATAGTGGATCTCAGTTCCTCGTAGAACTTGTCCTTGATCTCATTGGGGTTTGTCAGTGTTGGGGCGTAGGCAATGACTAGTGTGACATATTGCTTTCTTGGGAGCGGCAGTCAAACAGTCATCAGATGATCAAAAACTGTATTTACTTGGGAAATAAATTTTGTTATCATTATCACCTTTTCTCTCCTATTTTACTAACAAGTTGATACTGAACAGTCAAGCAAGCTGTTCCAAATGTTGTGATTCAAAGCATCAGGAGAAATGTTCAAATCATTTCATAAATTGTCATTTAAATGGAAATATATGAGAGTATTGTAAAAACTTAACACAACCATTCAAATGTAAACATTTCATCAAACTTATTGCCGCTCCAGTGGCCTAGTGGTTATAGCGTCCGCCTCTGATGTGGGAGGTCATGGGTTCAATCTCCTGTCGAGTTATACCAAAGACTTACAAAAATAGTACTAACAGCTGTCTTGCTAGATGCTCAGCATTAAGAGGTTAGTGTTAGGACAGATCAACTGGTATCAGAATAATGTGACTGGGTGGGACATCATGCTGCATGTCTACAGTATGATGTCCCAGTGCTAGACATCACTATAAAATCCCACACTGCAGACATTGTAGTGATATGACTGAAAAATTGTTAAAAGCTATGTTAAAAATCATAATCACATCACATCACACTTAAAACTAGTGTTTATATTATTGCACAATATCCAGACTATGAGGGGTTGATGATTTAAAGTTCATTGAATTTTGTCAGATTTTGCCTGTTTCTAATATATTTGTATTGATTGAATGTCTCCCATTTCATTTATAAGTCATGTCTCCCATTTCATTTATAAGTCATGTCTCCCATTTCATTTACAAGTCATGTCTCCCATTTCATTTATAAGTCATGTCTCCCATTTCATTTATAAGTCATGTCTCCTATTTCATTTATAAATCATGTCTCCCATTTCATTTATAAATCATGTCTCCCATTTCATTTATAAATCATGTTATAAGTCTATTTACAAGTGAAAAGCTGTGACTAATAAGTGAACAAAATTGTAATATGTTAATGACCCACATTTAAATTTGAAATGCCTAATTTGCATATTCATGTATAAGTGAAATACCCAATTTGCATATAAAATCCTAATCCTTCACCTTTAAAGCACTGATAAAACTGAGTCTAGATATTTCAAATAATTCTTGGCCAGAAAATGGATTGGCAAAAAAGGAAGACTGAGTTGATTGACTTCAAAATGGAACATGTAAGCATCTCACATCCAGTGATGACTTTTCAGTTCCACAGCTCTTGTTAAATGATTAAGGAGAAACCACACAGAACCCACTCCTCCCAACTTGCTGAAGGATCCCTTGAGAGCCTCCATATTGCTTGTAAACCTGTTGGTCCCATGACTTAGGTCTCTCACTGCTAGTACACAAATACCATTCTCCATGCCAATGTCATCATTGACAGCAGCATCCAGGTGATACAAAACCCAACAGTGTTCTTTGGTTCCCGGTGAAACAGTTCTACAGTAGTAGATTGCTTCATTAAAGTGGATTGTGATAAGTCTTGTCTGTATTATGATAATACAGTAAGAATTTATTTTATAAATACCCTGGATATAGTCAAATCCATGGCCAGGGAACTCATATCTTGAAATAAATGTGGTTAAAAGTAAACCCAGCCAAATAATGCTGTACGTGGCAATAATATCATAGTAGATTTTCATTTATTTATAGCACAATGACATTCAGTACGTACTATTTTTTTACACTGGTAACTTCCTTAAGTGATGCTGATCCACTTCACACACATGAGCATGTGGGGTAGGTACCCCAAGATCATATCTGCCAACTTTGTGTGGTATTTTAAAAGAAAAATATAAAACCAGAAAAATTACTGAATCAAAGCCGTTGAGAGTAATACATGCTCAAACAATAGTGTCAATGAGGGGGATACAATTCTGGGAATGTAGCTTAAATATCAGGTTCACAAAACCCACTAATTAAAATAATGTGGACAAAAAGTAATGTGAAAAAACAGAAGGACTGAGAGTAAATGTCATTTGCAACAAAAAAATAGATATGATTTAAGTAAATGATAGCCAAGGCACTTGAATCTGAAAATCTTTGACAATAACAAGTATTGCACTGTACTGCAGCATTTAAAATCATGCTTTTCATGTAATGTACCTGCACTTTCTGTAGAGGATCTTAAAGGCCAATATTATTATCTTTAAGGATAAGAATGTTCCTGCATGCCTAATCCAGAATACAGAATGCCTAATCCAGAATCTTTTCAAATTTAAATTCATATGGAGTCCTTAATTAGAAAGAGAGCAATTAGTACCATTATAATCAATTTTTGCACTAAGAACAATGATCTGCATCATAATTTCATGTTGACTTTGCACTACAACCATAGTAGAATGAAAAGGGAAGTAACTCTATGTATTTCCTCTGATCACATTGAAGCATGTACCAGAATCATTTTGATTAAAAAATCATTTTAATTAAAATATCTTGGATCTATTTTTCAAACTTTGAGAGAAATAATTCTTACATTAATTTTTAAAAGTCAGCCTTACCTGATTTTCAAAAGTCTGCCTGAGTGTGTTACCAGGAGTAGGTTCCAATTCATCATTGTGGGCCTTCTCTATGACATCAATCACATCAAGCTGAAACATGTTATGGGGTAAGATGTTACAATTAGTTGAATTATGTGCATTAAATAATGAATTCTGTAAAAAATCTTTTTATTTCATTTTTATTTCATTAAATGTAATTATTATTATGATTATGTTAGCATGGGTCTAATATTTTGTTGAAAATATTGTTCACTTAAATTGTAAATGTGACTCATGTAAGCATAATCTTTGTATGATCATCGAAAGTAAACATTCAGGAGTGGCTATGAAAATGATTCGCTGATTACTTGGTCAGGCTTTCGTAATGTCCAGATGCATTGCAAAATGTCCTCCGTGTATGTGAGTATATGAAACAACATATTAGCTTCATTAATATGCTTAGTTATTTGTAAGAACGTCAGTCAGTCAAATTCAAAGTCGTAGCTGATTTCAACATCTAAGAGAGTCACATAGCTTCTATTATCTTAAAAAGAAGTTGTCTGTTCATGTGTCTACGTAGAACGACATGGTTTTTTTTAGTGGAGATAACTGTAGTTTGTCTTTCTAAAAAATTATATCCCCTGGAGAACAATATTACTTTTTTGGATAAAGACATTTTCTGAAATTCTTCTAAATTGGAACCAAACAATACAAACTGTGCTTCACTGCGAAAATTCTGGGATTTTTGTGTTAGCCTTCGTCTGACGTCATATTTAGCCATCTTGAACTGGATCTGAACTTCATACTGTGTAAATTTAGAACTATTCACAGGACTTAAAAAAAACAAATTGGCAATGGGCTATATTCTCTTCCAAATACATCGGTGAGTTGTTTACACATTATTTTGTACAGGTGAATCAGAATAGATATTAATGTAAAATGGATATTTCAAAATACTTCATATTCAACTGAGCACCATAAAAGGTTGGTTTATTCAGCATTAGTATTAAAGCCAAGTTGTCAGAAGAAAAAAATGTTTGGCATACCTTGGCCTTCTTAACCGTCTCCCAGATATCAATGCAGGTATGGGGATCGACAATAGTGTCTCCAATACCTACACTGTGTCCCTCTAAGAGCAGCCAGTTGTTGACCACTGTCTGAATGTTACCATACAGTTCTCCAGCCACCTCATAACCCATTTCCATGTACACTACATGGGCAAGGGATCCTGTGGATGTGCCCAGAGTTTTCTTACACAGAATACCAGATAACAACACACCATCTTCAATCAACACCTTGAAAATAAATTTATATATCAATATTAGTTTCAAAGAATTTAAGTAACTATTCACACCTGCATCAAATATCTTAAGGCATGATTATGTGTGAAATACACTTGGCAGAAATTTGTAATGTCCTCAAAAAAAACAATAGCAATGACACTGCAAAATATTTTGAAAATCTGCAACTGCAATTACTTTTCTGTTAAAGCTTTATAATAATTAATACAGACTTAAAATATGCAATTATGATTTCATTTTTCCCGTTGTTACTTTGCATTATTAAAGTACCTAAAAAAACAAGGTTGAAAATATCCTAAGAGATTAATTAAAAATATTAAACAATTCCAAGTTCAAGTTTGGTGGTACTTTCACTGAACATGTTGTACCCTTAGGAATCACACAAGAAGATACATAGGTCACATGACTGGTCATTCTATTGAGTAGTCACAGGATACAAGATGTGAGACTGGTGCTGCATTCACATCTAGGATCCACCAGTGAACAAATTTGATTCCTGTTTCACTATGCAAAAGCACAGTCCTCCTCTGTGTCTTGGGATCTGCAGTACAGGGGCATGTATGGGCAACCATAGTTTCAATTAACTTAGCAAAATCCTGAATGGGAAAGGAAAGTTTCCTCAGCAACAGTACTACTGGTAGTCAGATACCAAGCTGTCAGCCTTTCATGTCAAGTGAATTAATAATTTAGCCCACAAACACAACAACTTGAATAATTAATGCCAATTTATGCACCAAATGCAGTGTCTTGCACATTCCACAACTGAGTCTGCCATAGTATACCCTTCAATGTACACTACATCACATATACAATGGCCAACTTTGGGCAGGAATACAAAATAGGCTTCAATGACTTTGTAAGTGCAGAGGTTAACCCATTCTAGAAAACAAATGAATTCATATATGTTATCTCAGCATAATCTTGAGTGAAGTCTGTGCCAGCAAGAATAGTATGTATGTATGTATGTATGTATGTATGTATGTATGTATGTATGTATGTATGTATGTATGTATGTATGTATGTATGTATGTATGTATGTATGTATGTATGTATGTATGTATGTATGTATGTATGTATGTATGTATGTATGTATGTATGTATGTATGTATGTATGTATGTATGTATGTATGTATGTATGTATGCATGTATGTATGTATGTAAGAATTTATGTAAGGATTGTATGTATGTATGTATGTATGTATGTATGTATGTATGTATGTATGTATGTATGTATGTATGTATGTATGTATGTATGTATGTATGTATGTATGTATGTATGTATGTATGTATGTATGTATGTATGTATGTATGTATGTATGTATGTATGTATGTATGTATGTATGTATGTATATATATATATATATATATATATATATATATATATATATATATATATATATGCATTTTTAAGCAAGTGTAGGCAAATTATCAGTTTACCTTTTTCATTAGATTGATGTCAGAAAGTACCATTTCCATCGCATAGTGACACTTTTATGTATTTTTCAAGTGTTTGCAGTACAGTACAATTTATGTACCAGCTGTACTGGATCTTAGAGATATACCAAAAGAGA